AGGGCAGGCAGACCAGCTCTGCTCGCATGGACAACAAGCAAAAACTCTAACCTGCTCATTATCTGCACAGGGAAAATGCATGTGGGTGATTTTGAGCTTGTTTGGATCTGACTTGACACTTGTACTTAAAATGTGTTTTTCCATTTGTTTTCATTGTTCTCAGATGACAAACAGAAAGTGATTTATTGGGCTTCTGTGTCCTGCTAACATCAACAGGTTAATCCTTCTAATATCTTAAATGCTTCTCTGAGATGTCAACTCAGTCTCAGACTAACGTAACAGTTGGACTGGGGTTTCTTGAAAGAGTGATGCTTTCCACTCTGACTACAGTACCATGCTGTGTGTTTCTCTTCAATTAATTGGACCATGTTATCACCTTGAGAGACTTAAACCTGGATTTTCGGGACCTTCTCGTTATATTTTCTGTTATAAACCTTCCTTTTCGACAACCATGCAGAATGTCAACTGCAGTCGTTACTGTACCTGCTGTACTGCCTTGGAGGTTAAGGACTGACGTTATCCTGCTGTGCGGTTTTCTAGGTAATGTTTGCCGGGCTCCACAAATGACGTCTCCCCTCTCACACTGGTTGTGATGTCTTCTGGAGAGATATGTAGCCTTGTTGCGCTACCCACTGGGCACCGCTACCATCATCACCATCAGAAACACAGTGGGGTGGCTATCGTTGTGGTTGCGGCCTTTACTGTTCACTAAGATGCTCCTCATCGAGTCTTCTGCTGTTGGATTTTCCATTTTCAGACCTGGACAGCTCTGCGGCATGACAGATCTTTGTAATTACTAATCATGTCTCTTGGGCCCCCAATGCTCGATATTTATGACAAAAATGACAACTTGTGTTTCTGTTTACTCAGCTGGAGTTAGCCCCAGTTATTTCTTTCCTATATTTGTGTGGTTGCATAGCAGCCAGGTCAGCGCCCTCCACAGAACAAATTCATGTCCATAAGCCTCGTTAACACACTGCTGCTGCGCAATCTGGTCAGCTTGCCTTACTTTTTTCTCAACCAATTTACCACCCAATTAATTTTACTGTATTCTCATAACCATAGTTTCGGGATTAGTACGTGTACGATATGCCAGAATTTTATTGATATGTTGAGTTTTTCTTTGCTGCCCCCAGATGTCTGATTCGCCATCTATGGACTCAGAGGACCAGGACGTATCCAAGACCCATACTTGTGTACTTATTGTATGCTGGGGGTCGACTGGACACTGCTCACCCCAGTCAAAGCTATGGCCTAAGGATACATGGGGAGGTGGAAT